TTGCAAAAGAAAGAGTGCATTGGAAAAAAACATAGAGAAAAATATTATTTTCAGATGAAAAAAAATCTAATAACTTCATTTTCCAGCAAGATAATGCAGCTAAATTAAAAATAGCACACCTGGGCTGTTTTTTTGAAGATGAGTGTACATTAAAGGATTTACTTACAGTAACTTTAATTTATTTATAGTAAAAAAAATTGAATCCTTACTTGTTCAGCAGGATCTAATGGTTGACCTAATTCCTGTTGAGTAAACTCAATGAGTACAACAGACCCATCCCAAGAGCAAGCTGCTAGACGAAGACCGCATGGTGACCAACTGGCATCTAAGACTGAATGTGTAAACAATTCATGTATCACTACCAGAGGTCTTTTTAATGATGTTAACCATACAGAAAGAGAACGGTCACGAGATCCTATAGCAACGCAACAATACTGTTGTGGTTTAGAAGAACCTGGTTGTTTCTTTTGTAACATATTTCCATTAAATCTCTAAAAGAAACAAACAATGAAGAAATTACACATTTGAGAATAATAAAATAATAAATTACTGCTTTAGTACACCACCAATTTTTGTAGTTTATATTTACATTAATTACATACCACACATGTAACAGCCTTTCTATGTCCAACAAAATCTTTGTCTTGTGTCCACCCATCTCTTTCAATTATTTGTGCAGTTGGGCCACCACCGTTCATAGCATGAGCTGACACCAAATATTGACCATCTGGACTCCAAGAAAGTCTTAATACATGAGTGGTTCCACCGCATTCATCAAATGGTTCGGATATCAATGCTGCTTCTGTCCAATCTGTTGTACGCCATACACGTAATGTTTTATCATCGGACTGAGAGGCTAAATACTTCCCTACAGGATCCCATGTAATTCCTTTTACAAATCCTGTATGACCTTTCAATACAGCGACAATAGCTGGAAATTTTGAAGCATCCCATACTATTACAGTATTGTCTACCGATGCAGAAGCTAACCATGGACTGTGAGGTGCCCATGCTAAATCCAATACATCAGCTTCATGAGATCGTAAAGTAGCTATACAACGCCATGTTTCCACACTGGATTTTCCACCGAATAAAGAACTACCACCTAATCCACCAGACAATCTCCAGATCATAATGAGTTTATCTACACCACCTGATGCTAATAACCCATTATTACTCCATCTAACACAATTGACGCAAGCTATAAAAACATCAAATTTTTAAATATTATATATTTCAATAGAATGAAACATAAAAACTGAAATTATATGAATGAAAATATGTTAAACTATTCATACCAAGATGATTGTCTAATTGACACAACATTTTTGGAATATTTTCATCTAATTCTGCAATTTCATTAACTACGGGTTCCATGTTCCATATGACAACCCTTCCAGAATCACCACCTAAAACGATAAAATCAAAATTCATATTTAAAATAAGAAATAAATAAAACAAAAACAATAAAAACTATTTATAAATAATATGAATATAATGTAAATGTAAATAAAAAATATTAATACCTTGACCACCAGTGGCAAATCTTTTTCCATCTGGATGTATATCCACAGAAAATATTGGATAGCCTACGAGATAATTAAATTTTTTAAATCAGATATTGCAATTATAAAAATTGAAATATATTTAAATAAAATACACAAACCATCGTGTGTAACCCAATTTGGTTTTACTAACTTCATATTATTTTACACAAAACAAAATTTCGTCAATTTAATAATTTTTTTGTAATTTTTAATTCATAGTTCATTTTAAATTGATCAAAAACAAATAGCACTTTTCATTCCGCGTAAATGTAACACTTCTAGAATATCATAACCTTAAAACAAGATATAAACAAAATTTCACTATCGGTAATACATTTAACTTGATTTCTATGAATTTGTATAGAAAAACACTGTCCGAATTTACATTAGCGGTCAAAATACAGAATTGTTTCTGTAATTTCGCGAAAATTGAAAGATTCAATGAAATGATAGGGAGTGTGGAAGTTATTTTGCTTAGCCCCCATTGGTTGATGCCACGAGACGTTAAGGGAAACATAAAAATTCAAATGATACGAATATGAGAACTTTTTCTGTTTTAGTAGGAATACTATATGGATGAAACATTCACACAGAATCTACCGTAAAACGTACAGCACGATATTAAATTATATTTGACAGTTTGTACAATACATTAACATACGTGAAATAGACAATAAAATAATATAATATATATAAATATATATAAAATGTATATACATATTCTTTTATTTTTGATTTTGGTCTAAGAGTAATATATTTTAAGTAAAATTAATATAATAAAGAAATAGTCAAATAATATTTTTTCTGCAAATTCTTGTAATCATTCATTATCATTTTTTACACAATTAATCTCACGATTTGTATGATTATTGCCCTCGAGTAGTTTCTTATAGCGTTCAACTAAGTCACTGATTGAACGTCTCCTTTGTGTTGCCTCTGCAATTTTGTTAGATTTGATAATGATTTTGTCCTGGTTACTTGCACTTTCTATTTCTATTGTTTCACATATATTAAGAACATCTGGTTTCCTTTGGAGCGTGTTTACTACATCTTCTATTTCAGACATGTATTCAAAATTATCATCTTTTGTAGTAGTCAATTTCAAAGGTGTAGTAAAACCTACACTGTTATTGCATATGTTTTTTTCTGATATATTCAAACTGAGTTCCGACATATCATGTATTTCTTCAATTGCACTTGCAATTGCAGTCGAATTTGCTTTTGAAGTACAAGGTATAGACATTACACTTGTATTTGCTGTGAACAGGAAAATTTTTATTTTATAAAAAAAATTAAAGTTATAGTAATTGAATATTTACATACCTGCATTGTTATTTCTTTTTGTACGCATAGAAAATAATCGAGAATATTTTTCTGCTTGTTTAGAAGATAACAAATTGCTTTTATTTAACACTGGAACGTGTAACGACACTTTTTCATTGTCAGTTGTCGATACCGAATCATCAAAAGTAATGTGAGATACTAATAAATTTTCTCTCAACCTTGATCTAAGTGTAATATTATTTGGTTTTAAATGTTCGTATCTTGAAAATAATGACTTATGTACACCTAAAAGACATTTTCTAATTTAATATTGTATACCTTATAGTTTCAACAGTATTATAAATAATATCGGTTCTACCTTCCACTGGAGTAAGCTGTAAATGCTTCAGTTGATCGATTTCTATGTCTGTACAGTTAGTATCAATTTTTATAAGAGGCGATGACATTAAAAGAACATTATTTGTTGTAGGTACTTCCATTTCATTATAAATTTGTGCAATATTATTTTGGTGCAATATATGACATAAATGTTGACCTGTTTCCAATGTTATTGTTCTGATATCCAATAAGTATGTTTGGAATATATTTAAAAATTCCTTCATGTCTTTACAACTTGTCTCTATTTGTAATTGATGCTCTGAAAGGTTTGCTAATGTATTTAATTTTAATGGTTGATGCAACTGAGTTATTACCGAGTTAAATAATAAAATAAAATTATGAAAATTTAATTTGTCATTTGTGTATAATTGAAATAAAAGGCTCTGAAACATGAAATACATTTTCTTTTAACGTCTTGTATATTATGAGATAAATATTAATAGATCTTAGAAAGTTACTTACTTGTATATCATAAGGAAATAATTTAGACATATCTAAATAATTTATCTGTTGGAACTGCTTTGCATCCAACATTTTAATGTCACCACTGTTACTTGATACTATGTTATTTACTTTGTGACTAACTTGTTCAATATTCTTTAAAATTTTATTTTTATTTTGTATATAATTCAAGTACTCATTTATATTTTCTTTCCATTCTGAAATTAATATGCAAATAAATATATATGTGAATTAATAAAAGTATGATCAATGATATAAAATATTTTAAATATAACATTAACTTTGTATCACTTCTTTGTCATTTATGTCAATCAAATGTTTTTGAATTGTAGAATGAACAGGAACGTCATTTATAAGCAGTTTAATAACTTGTTCCCTCTCAAAAATTTCTGTTTTAATATTGTTCAAGTTCTGTTCCTCATTTCTAATAAATAAACAGACAAATTAGAAATCTTATTTATAATATTATAGTGCCAGTGAATAATAGAAGATACAAATGTTACTTCAAAAAGGTTTCAGCAATTTCTTCCATTTCTAATAAAGTTTTATAATGATTTAAAATATTAAAGGAAATCATTGCACTGGTCTTCTTTAAAAATTGCTTTCCTAAATTTGCATCAATTTTTGCTTGAGGTACAAGCATAACACTACAAATACCTGTAAAAATAAACAAATGATTATTAAAACTAATGTTTAATACTAAAATAATTTTGATTGTAAACACCTTACTTGAAGAGGTAATATATTTTCTTAATACCGCTTGTGACAATTTCCACATAATTGTCACAAACTTACTTCCACTTGCATGAAATAAATGAGACACAAGTATATTTGGAAAATTAATATCGCGATTTTCTGCGGATATGATTATTAGAAACGATTTAACATTGTTACGATACTGTGCTTCTGTCTTTTTACAAGTAACTGGCCATTCAATTAACTTTTTAAAACGTTCCGAATCATATATTGTTAATAAATAATGAGATGTGTATAAGAAACCTGCAGTATTAGGTTTATCAAACATATTCTGTAAATAAAATGATTTATTAAAAAATATATACTACATTTTTGGTAAGTGAAATGTACCTCACGAAAATGTTTCTTAAATTCTTCACTGGGTGTAACTTGTTTTAATAATAGGGAAACATTCTGATAAAATAATGTGCTCACAGACATTGTGTCTAAGATAACTGAGGAAGATTCTTTATGAGATCAAATATTTTTATTTCTGTCACTTGTTAATGACACTTTAAAGAGCGTAAAGACATCATAGTTAACAGTTATGCGAAAACATTTGAATTTTGAAAGTTTTTATTTGCTTTGCCATAGATAGAAAATATATAGAATGATACATTGAAAGCGAAAATAGTATTCCAGTCAACTATGTAAATGCAACCCAAGGATTATCATGTGAATCGGTTTCATTTCCTTCTGTACGTGTAAATATTCGACATATGTTAAGAATATTGGAAAATATTGTGGATTAATTGACTGTTATTTTCAACTAATAATTAATCGTGTGATGTAACTATACTTTGAAAGAAATATTTCAATTATCGATCAATTAGTACCGAATTCTTATCATCAGACAATATATATTTACGTAACACGATTTTTGCTAATAATCCTAAGTTCTAATCCCAAAATGGACTTTCAGGTTGTATCTTAAAGACAGCATTTTTGCCACAATCGAGAAATATTTATATTTGATTTAATAATTAATAATTTAACAGATAGCAAATTTACGTAGACATTCTATTTTATTTATATAGTCAAAGATAACAGATCCTATTGCCATCTAGCGGCAAACGTACTATCTAATGCAGTGACAGCAATTTTTGAATACATTTTAAATGTATAATTCTAAATTTCAAATGAAATTGTATCCTGTCATTACTAAAGTATTTTATTTCCCTTGGTTAGCCCAGAATAATATACAAATGTCATTAATATATAGTACTAGCGTATGTTTGGAAATGATCGTCAAATGCAAAATAATTTAAACATAAATTCATAAAAATGGTTTAATGAGAATAAATATAGAGTATACATGAATTCTATAATTTTGTATGACAAGATTTTGATGATTTAAGTTTCAATAATATACAAAATAAGTTCGCGAAAATAGAAAATGATACAAATAACAAGAAGAGTTTTGTTTATATATGTATTACCTTACTATGTACTTATATATATAATACTAAACACTAATAGTTTATACATGACAATTTGATCGAAGGTACAAAGCAATATTATAGTGGCAGTTTTTATTTTATTAGTAAGTATTATTAAACTCTTTACATATTTTTGTCGTTATAATGAATAACTGGTAGAACTTTTAACTTACACATCCACTCATTCAAACATGCGTGACAGACCATTCCGTAACTACGTACTCAGTACTCACAACTATGTCACATGATCCCCAACAACTTATAAGATTAATGCCATTTCTCAGCTGCTTACAAAATCTATTTCTTAACATTTGTTTGGAGTTAAACAAATGTTTAGGGATAACGAGAGACTGTTCTTGCATTCAATTAGAAAACTATATATTTATGTATTGCAACCATAAACATAGGTATTAAAATATTTCTATTTACTGTGCATTAATTAGAAAGCAAATTATAACGTTAACATATTTTATTACAGAATCTGAAATTCAATTAAATTGCATGTATCTATATTAAGATCAAAATTCGAATGCGCAATTCTTTTTTTCAATAAGATTAAAGTACACAATATTATTCACAATTCGTATGCGTGTACCTCATACATGTATATACCTGTGTTTCTCTCATTTGATAATAATTTTAAATGGATTTTTCCCTTACGCCTTATCGAAAAATACACTCCAGTCAATGAATGA